GGCCTTCAAATAAGTCATGGTTGTACGGCAGTGAAGCATCGGTGTTGAACACTGATGTCATGCTGTCGATGATGATGATGATGATGATGACGATGATGATCACGACGGCAGTTTAGTAGATGGTCAAAAAGTTGCTACCTGACAATCATCACAGAAAAACACTGCTATATATTAGCAGTCTCTTCCATATAGATACCGCCAGACATTTTGAAGCTTTCAGATTCTCTTTTGGATCACGTGAGTTTTAACTCAAGTGAGGTGCTGTTTTTATAAGAATCTATCCTCAATCTTTTGGGATCGAGATTCGGTTTTGTTGGGAACGGATGGCAATGGATGGAAGAATGTGGCACGAATAAAATTAGCTTTCAAAAGGAAGCAAAAACACAGGTAGTGATCGCGGTTCGCGTGAGGTGCATTTCAATGAAAGGGTTTTTCTCGGAGACAAGTTCTTCGGTGTAAGGATGAGTTGGGATTCTCCACAACGACTGCCATAAAGACGGACGGGAAAGGGTGTGGCATACAAACACCTGAAACCAATTGCCAATAGTAAAAACCAATACAGGCGCGTAAAATGAAGTATCCTACCTCCATACTATTACTGGATACTGATGTTGTAGAGAGAAATGCTCTTCAGCTACAAATCCACAGAAAGGTCAAGGAAACGGTAAAATTTCCATGACAAACCTAGGTTTCAGATTGCTTGACTCCCGGCAGCCGGACTTCACTGTCGACGCACAATTTAGTAACCCCAAGAAACCCTCGTAATTATTTATGCAGGACATTCAAAAATACCCAGGCAGGCAAACATCGAGTAGGTCGCTTCGGAGAAGGCTCAAATTCACGCAAAGATGAGATCACGGATACAACTTTCGAAACCTAAGTAATCCAAGTATCATCCATTTAGCTGGATTCACTTGAGTCTCCTGTCGAGACAAAATTCGAGCGCAAATAAGAGCATTCGCTGAATTCTGTGCACTTTGGGTTCAAATGGAACATAAGGTTCACGGGAACTGGGATGCAGCGCCTGCCTGATAAGCCCCGAGAAGGCTGAAACTGGTCGGAGGATGCTGAAGAATAATCAGCCAACTTATGAGTAGTGGGTTACGTTTAGACATTCACAGTTAACAGTTATTTACATGCGAAGCACGGGGAAACAACAACAAACCATCATATATCTGTGACGCAGAGAAGTAATCCAGCACGCATTCCGTCCAGTCTGGGACCTGTCTGGTGGATTTGGATGAAAGCAACCGTTAGATGTCCAGCTCGAAAATTCACAGTACACCTGAAATATCTCTACATCTACTTGATGAGCTAACTCAGGAAGAATGTAGCTCTTCCAGGAATGAAGACCTTTGCTGGCAAAAAATCGCGGACCACGACGTGTGATAATCATCAGCTTCCCCATGCGAACCATGAAAAGCCATCAACGGTTAGCAGACAGATGGTCGGTGGTCAGTATTATAGCGCACTTTGATGCAAGCGCCAAACCAAGTAAACCGAATGAAAAACACAGTAGACTATTGTGGAACTAAACACTAAGTTGCAAAATAAGATGGTGATAAAACTAAGATGATACTCAAAAATAGCTAAGTTAACCAAATATGCTGCTTAGGTATCGCCAGTATGTCAGATAAAGGCAATTCAACCCGCATTCCTAAATGGAGGCGATTTTTATCGCCTTGTGGAAAATCAGTTTTCTAGCCCAAATCAGAAGGGTTAGGGAATGCACCTCACGATTCCAGCCACGATTCGAAAGACCGTCCTTACGGCCAAATGCTAATAGTTCTCATTTTGTAGCACGCACTAAACAGCTGATTTTTAGTGGCGCCGGTCTGGATCCACATAGGTAAACTGAATCCGAAGTTGATCACAAGTAAATTCACCAAAAGCGGGCACAGTAATTAGTGCACTTTCCTAGGGGCTGACCCAAAAGTACATTGCGCCCTAGTAGTTTCTACTCAGTGTGCCATCGAGGTTCTCTCCCAAGATCAAGTTTAGGAACAGTCATGTCAAACCACTACCAAGAGATGCCTCCAAAAAGAGTAATCAACCTACTAACTTCGATCAAAATCAAACGCCTTGACAGTGACCGGTTGAGCTCCGTGGGCCGGCAAGATGAATTTTAAGAAACAGAAAACTGCACTGGTAGTCAAACTTACTTTGCTTTGTGTGCCTGTGACTCGGGTTGATTTTTGTAAACTGAGCTGGCCGAAAATGCTGACGGAGGTAATCGTAGTTGTTCAAGGTCCTTGTGTATACGTTTGACACCAGCCGGGTCTGAATAGTACAAGAGAGCATCGGTTGAAGAGAACGAGATGCAACGAAAATTGCGAGCGATAAGTGTGTTAGGCCTACGGAGCCCCTCCACCATAATCAAAAGCTAGGAGACTGGTGCAAGATACCAGCAAAGGCAAAGAGGGATGAAATGCCAAAAAGAACTGTTAGTGGCTGAAAAGCCTGCACTGAAACAATCACCTAGGGAGCAGTATCATTCTTAAATAAACAGATGTGTTCTCTATTCGGTCAGACTGGGATTGTTGTCTCCCAGCTGTGATTTTTGAAGAAAGCATGTGAGAAAGACTGAAAGAAATAGGTAATAGATGGAAAAACCCTGTGACAACCTCATGAGTATCTGCGCTGTTAGATAAAGAAACTGTACATTCCGATCTGTATTATACGCATATATAAACGCGATTTCCAAAAACCCAGACCTACTTTTTTATCGCAACCGCTTGTTTTCAGTACCGTTGAGATGTTTAAACCGAAATATCGACAGCTCATGCAAACACATCACGGACAGCGGTAACAGTACAGGTGTAACCATCGGAAATGTTTCTTCTTCGAAATCCTTCGACTCAATAGGTTGGTTACTGAAGGGCTTTTGAAGGTTAGAAAATTGTGCGGAGACGGCGGCACGCCATTAAACACTCCTTTGATTATTACGTACTGACTAACTTAGTATCTCGCTCTAGACATATGGCTTACTTTAATGAAAAGCGAACACAAGATAGAGGCATTTAGATTATCAAAAAGGCGCTTTCTTTCAAGAGCGCTCTACTTGTATGCTTCCTCTTTAAACTAAACAGGGGGAAATGTTGGCTTATGGAGTGATAGTCAAGAGAAGCAAATTCCACTCAGGTTGGAATACCTTATTATCCCCACAGATCATCAAATTGGGAATGAAAGAGAATACCGAACCCGCAGATAAAGTTAAGTGGACAAACAAAAGGAAAGAAAGTCGACCACTTAGGTCTCATTCGTAAGCGTCCTCGATAGGAAAGAGAACTTCGTAACCAACTGGGATTGATTAATTGAAAATAACTGGGATACACTTTTTAGTCGACGTGTGAGTTCCTCGCCCGCGGCACAGAAAAAGCGAAACTCTACTCAAACTTTGAATTTTCATTGGGAAACAGCCGCTCTGACGGTAGTGAAGCATCAGAAAATTCAACACCAGTTACAGATTTGCAGAGGAGCCGTGAGAAATTAGTGATTTTGAGTACCTAGCATTAGATAGTTGGTTATATAGGGTGCTGCTCACCTAAGTGATTGCAGATCAGGATAAGAAAACCTACCTATTTCCTTACCATACAATCCAGTTGAAAGAGGGCTGATCACGATTCATCGCAAGCCTCTTACATCTCGGTTGACCTGATTTAGACCCAATGGTTGTAGACCTTACCAGTCCGAACATTTTACAGGAACCTAGTTTCAGCTTGCTCAAAAACACTCTTCCTACATATATGTAGTTTTCTTATGGTTGGAAACTTCGAACTACTTGATCTTTTAAGAAAGAAGGTACATTTTAGAGGGCCGGAAGCGCAGGACAGTTGAGCGAAGATGGCAAAGACAAAAATATCGCCTTCAGACCTGCGCGTGCAACGTCCGTGATTATCCCAACAGCCTAGACAGAGTATACCGGCATCACTCGGGTGTACAAAAACTCTCATAGAGGTGTGAAAATGCGCGATTTAAGGCTGTCCATCCGTCTCCATATAGTCGGGCGACCTAAAGAAACGGAATCAGTTACTCTGGCATAAAATAAGTTCGGCTGTCGCGCCCTTTGGTGCTTAACTGCCATGGCACCAGAAGGAAGTACGAGGGCCGGGATGCTGCCAGGTTGCCCAAGCCAAGACAAGCGAAGTCGAAAGGCAGAGTTCGGGTCGAACCACGGACTTTGCGGTCAGTGAATTCGCGCTCTAACCACTGAGCTATCTGGCATGCTTCGCGTGGGACAGTGAACACGAGTAAACTGAGGGCTCAAGATACAGATCGTTTGTTCAGCAGTTCGTCTGACCTCAAGTCCGGTTAGTTGAGTGGCCCACTTTATTGTATAGCTTAGGTACATCGAGCGAGTGGGAACCTGAAGATGTTAGGCTGGCGTGCAGGCTAAAATGAAGAATGCGTCGAACCCAAACCGTTTCCCGTAAACTATGGAGGCTAGCGAAATCCAGTAAGCGTGTTCGTAAATGGTTGTGCAAGAATATCGCAGCAGATAGCTTCACCGAAGCGTGGATGCAACGGTATCAAGCTAGACAATGTTTGCCTTCAGATAACGGTTGGTAAAGCGTGTCTTCATATGCCTCAATCGACCGCGAACCCCCCGGGTTCTTGTGGGCTCTCACATCGCACCACTTAACCATACTGATCAACAAAGAGTAATCACAGTTGGCCGTACAGTGAGATTGAGATAGATGAGCGGATATAACAGACACACACAGGTCTTCATCGCAAACGGGTATTGGATGGAGAAGTCTGCGTCAGCTAGTGTTAACAATGTGCATATCACCTTGAAACTTAAGCACAAGTTGAATGGCTGTTCATTCGATGCAAAGTTTAGTTTGCGTGCATGAGCGAGTTGATCACACCATACAAATGATGTGCAGTACAAGAAGTAGACCTGTGGGTAGAACTAAGCCAGTAAAGCAATATCGATGCAAATTATCTACGAAAGTAATACAGATACAAGACCATTGGTGAGGGATGAATGCATTTTGTAAACTAAGCACAAATGCCCCGGGATGACTAAGCCTCAATGATCTAGTTTGATGTGATGTCTATGCCGTAACGGGGATGATTTATCGGATGGCAGTGAGCACAGACAGACGTGAAAACATCTATGCGAAGACGACAAAAATAGGAGAGTTATGATTTCCTTTTAGTCCATTCACTCACGATCAAGGTTCCGAGGGACTCATGTCGAGTCAGTGTCACCTGAATTGTTATTTAGTGGGATCAGCCCTCTGTATATATGTCAGACAGTCCAGGAAATAAGGGATCATTTTTCCAGTTGTGAACAACCACAGAGATTGTGTATACACAAGTACGATTTTCGTTTTACGCCTCAGTTACAGATATTCTAAGGTAACGGAACGTTTGAAATGTACACCATCATCATACATTAAGAAGAACAAGAACATTCCCAAGACACCCACAAGCAGCTAAATCGTCCTGGACCGATTGCAGAAAATGAAAGCAGTATACCATGTTGGCCGTCCATCCAAACAACAAACAAGCCCAATGTCCTTTTGGAGGAGCAGTTTTTGTCAATTTGCAGAAAGTCAGTCCGTTCACATCCACCAAGACTTGCAATTTCAGAATCCGAATCAATCCGCCGACCTGGACCTCGATCGGATTTACGTCCTTCTAAGACTTTGGGTAGCTAGGGCTCTATGAAACGATGTGCAATTCCAATCAGACTAGTCTGCGTGTTCTTCGGCTTTTACCTATCACACTACATTTGCTTTGGTTGTTTATTCTGGTTTGGGCTCTGTTCTTCAGGAGGTAATAGCTTGTCCTCTTTTCATAAGACGAATGAACCAAGGCTGTTTAATTGAAGACAACTTGGAATCTTTACGGTGACTAAAGAGATGAGTATAGCATAGAGTAAGATTGAAGCTTTCAGGGTTTCTTTGTATTACATTTCAAAGGCCACTTTTTATTGAACGATCCAGGCAATCTCTACGACTGAGAACAACGGTAGTTGCAACCTCTGGATATGCTCCCTCCAACTCGGTCGGTCACGCAAGTTTACATGCTGTGTAGCGTCAAGCAAATTCCCTTATTGGATATTTGAGCAAAAACAATCTGTCCAGGCTTTCATTCACTGTCACTGCTTTGAGAGTAGAGCTCACAGAGGAATCATCGACCACACATTGCCGTGAACAACAGTTAGCTGAAAACGTCTAAGCCACAGTTGAACTATCTGATGTCAGGCACCATGACAACGATTGACCTTTCAAAGGCCACTAAAAACCTGTTGTGAAATCTGTTATTGAAGGAGAAGTGGCACTTTATTCTACCTAATTATGAGATAATCACGCCGCTCATCGGTCATCGTGACCAAACGCCTTACAATTCAACAACTAGCAGAGATGTTGCGATCTCAAAGCTCGCTGGGGAGATGCTCAATACCGATGTCCAAAAAAGGAAAAAAATTGCCGTTCAGTGCTTCCCGGCTTTCCGATCAAGACCAAATTTATTTACAGGAGGAGAGCCCAATCGAAAATTTCCAAATCTCCTCATGCTGCCAACAAATCTATGGGTTAGTTGCGGATGATTGACGAGATCTGAAGAACTTGAATCCACAGCAATGTCGTTTCAACAATCCCCATCATTTCCTATGCGATTATTCTAGCTATTCCACACCAAGAAAATAGAAACCACTGTATGCAATTTTCACCCTAATTAGAGCTCGTGAGCAATGCATTTACTTGGCTGTGCTGGGAACCCCAAATTTCAGACATGCGAAGCGAGCGCATTATCAGAGTAATCGTATAAGGACAGTCACATCGCTCACGAATGGATATGTTCACCTGCTCATACGCGTTAATTCGGATTTGCCTAGCGTGTACTAGTAAAGTGGTGGTGGTGGTGGTGATCTTGCCCGCTTCGTATTTCTAATCCTCGTTGTTTGGATCCTGGCAGGGCCAAGTATAAGCAATGATGATGAGTTCTAATAAGAATGGCAGCCGAGTCGAGTGCTTCCGCATCTTAACGGATTTATGGCTTATTGGATATGCGGAAAACGAGCCATGAATACATACTGGTACACTTCACTCCTTACTCGCTTTTAAGCGGATCGCTGTGATTTTCCGGTTCGCTTTAGGTTCATTCATAAATGGAAAGTTTTCCTCCGAAAACCTTTGGGCATACCTGAAATTAGGTGCACATTCAACGAGAATACTGACCAATCTTACTCTGTCCTAGGCGCCATTCGTTTGGTCATCGATGCAGCACTCAGCAAAAACGGCAAGTTATGAAAGAGAAACTAGTTA